CATATGACACAAATATTGCATACATAAAGTTTTAAAAAAAATAAAAAGTTCTTTTAATCTAAAAATACAGCTGAATCAACAAAATAATAATAACAAACTCCAAATTTATATATTTTTACATTGTAAATAGGATTTATCCGATTTAATTTCACAATAGGATGTAAAAATATACTCCCTCCGGTTTTTAATAAACTTCACACTTTCCTCTTTGGGATGATCTAAAATAAACTTCACACTTCCTTATTTCCTTTTTTGGCAAAGAAATCTACATCAAAACAGTGTCGAACAGTGTCTCAACAGTGTTAAACAGTGTCTCTACACTGCCAAACAGTGTACTCTACAGTAAAGCCAAATTTCTTTCCTTATTTTGTGTGAAGTCAAACTGTGAAGATTAAAAAAAACCGGAGATAGTATAAATTTGGACTACATAAGCGCATGATATCAAAAACAGGATGAAGCGCTTGATATCAACTATCAAGGGAAAGCTCTTACCTGGACGTTGGAGGAAGATCCTTTCTCAGATCTGCATTGGAAAGTTCAAATCAACAACCGTAGCTATCGTGCTACAAATTTGCAAACCGGCAACTACTCTCAGCTCGATCTGCAAATTCATCCCATGCCCACTCTGCTCTTCATCGAGAAAGTTCTCGTCTGGACGCAGAAGAAATATCTCATCTGCATTGGAAAAACTTGGAAGCCTTCCCTTCCTATTCCAAGCCTGGAGACCACCGAATTCATAACCAAACTGCTTGACGAACTTGGGACAAGGAATTGAATCTGAGCATATCCGAGTGGGCCGGAAGTCGTTATTCGGTAGCTTTGATGGAGCGATGCCCACCTTGTGTCGTTATCATTACGTTGTTGGAGGAGGTGGTCTAAAAGACTAAAATTGAAATAAGTAAACACGATTGAAAATACAAAAGATTAAAAATGAAAAGAAAATTAGATGATACTCCTTCCGTAACATTCATATCTTCTCACTTTCCTTTTTTGGATGTAACATTCATATCTTCCCATTTCTAAATCTTCCTATCATACCCCTAATAATTTTAAAATTAATACACTATTACACCTACTTTTTTTGGATTTATCCTTCATTCCATCACATTATTTCACTATCTTCCCATCATACCCTCAATAATTAATATTCTCTTTCACTATTCTTAATCTACCTACTTTTCAAATGGGAACATATATATGTTACGGAGGGAGTACATAAATAATACTACCTCCGTTCTTAAATAAATGCAACACTTTGACTTTTACACTAATCACATGTTCTACTTTAACTACGTTTTATTTGTTAATGTAATAATATTATTTTATGAAAAAAATATTGTTAAACTTGTCTTATTGTAAATTTTCATAATCTATTTTTTTAATTTTTTACTAATACAAAATCATTTATATTAATGATAAAAGTTGTGTCTCAGCAAGTATGAAATGTTGACCGTTGCATTTATTTAAGAACGGAGGAAATTACGTGAGATACAAAAGGTGGGTAATTTCCACTATTTTTAATTTCTAACTCGGCAATGTCTACCCCTTTACCAATGCACGTGCTCTATTCGAAGATCCAGCAACTCCCCAATCCCCATAAGGCCCAAAAGCTAAGCGCATGCTGCGCGCCTACTTAACTACTCCGTAATAAAGTGCACTACGTACAATTAATCCGATCGATACATATTCCTCTTTCCGATCTGATGTCTGCCTATCGGAGAAGAAAAACTGTGATAAGTGAGCTGCCCGAAGATGTAAAGGAGAGGATTTTGGAGCGGATGCCCACTCGAGACGCCGCCAGATGCGCCCTGCTCTCTACTCAGTGGAGGGATGCTTGGTACCGCCAAGGGCGACTCGCCTTTGACTGGGACTTTTTCCTCTCTTTCAAAAACTTGAGAAATGTTGCTTACAAAGGCGTGTTTTTGGTGAACATAATAAACAGCATTCTCCTGCTGCGAGCGCGCTGGGCCTGTTAAGGTATTTACGTTGGACATTTGTGCCTATCCTCTGCCGCCGCTGCAGTCCGAATTAGACCGGTGGTGTCTTTTTCTCTCAAGAAACGGCGTCGAGGAGCTTCACCTCTCGATGGGCTTCTCCGTACCGAGCTATAAATATAAGCTTCCACTTTGTTTAATCTCATGCAAGACCATCAGGCGACTTTCACTGTTAGATTTCGTTGTCCATTTGCCGGCAAATGCTCGGTGTATATTTCCCGGACTCATGTCGTCAGATTTCTACGACGTTGAGTTCCGTGGTAATGTTAACGGACTGGTCAATACTAATCTTCCGAAGCTTGAGAAGCTGGCCTTCGTCCAGGGCTGTGTTGGTGTTGGTAATTTTTTGGTCAGCGCTCCCCGACTTCAAACTTTAAACGCTATTAGCTGTCTCGAAGGGCTCAAAATCACATTTCTCGCGCTTCATTTGAAATCTATCCATACCCTCTGCTTGTCAGCAAATTCGTTTTCGGTGAGAATATATATACATCCTCCGTATTTATATACTCCGTACTTGCAATTGTAACGTGTTGTCACTGTTAGAACATCTCCAATGCTATAATATGCACGGTGCGGTGCACATGTGGTATGAGTTATAGCCATATAAATATTAGCATATAAATTATCTCTCTCCTTATTTGAATGATTTTATACAATTTTGGTAAGTTTTTCCCTGCAATGTCAATAACAATGTCAACATCTAGACGGTCTCCTTGACATTGTCGAGAAAAACTTACCAAAAATGTATAAAATCATTCAACTAAGGAGAGAAAGAATTTATTTACTAATATTTATGTGGCCATTTCTCATACCACGTGTGCACCGTGCACATTTTACCATTAGAGATGCTCTTAAAGTATTTGAAAATTTTGATTGTGCACCACATTTTTAAGAGATACCATATATGTAGTATATTGACTTTTGCTTATCAATTATCACAAACTTTAGACAACGATTTTAAATATTATATTTGTATACGAAGTATAATTTATAAATTTTATATTTTTATGAACATATTTTGAATAAAGAATGTTTTGATATAATTTTCATATTCTACATAATTTCGTATTATAAAATATTATTAGCCAAAAATTATTGTCATTGAGCAAGAAAAGTTAATTTAGCGAACTTTTTTGGGACGGAGGGAGTATTAGACTTCAGTTTGTACTCTAATTTTTGAAAACTAATATATGCACTACAATTGTTCAAACATTTATGAAAAGCTAAGGTGCAAATTACATTAATTTTTTTTTACTTAAACCGGTACGACATATATATTAACTTTTTTTAATATGAGGTGCAAAGTCTATTTTTATCCAAAAAATGTTGTACCAAGTCAAGATTGTCTAAACCTATTTCCATAAAAGGTATATGTTGCAATTTAACAAATAAAAAATTAATATTGATTATTACTTAATTGATTACAAGTATGTCCATGGTACTACCGTGTTCACTTTTTAGGTAGTCATTTTTATTACCGTTCTAGTCAATAATTGTAAATTTTGATCAATTATTATAACTAATATTGTGTGTGTTTTTACATAACTCATAATGCATAGGAGATCAACAATAGCTTAAAAAATGAAAACCTTCTCCTCGTGACCCCATGTTTTGTATTGTTACAATGCAATTATTAATCACTAAAATTATTTGCATGACGGCTAAAACTAGCTTCCCAAAAGACCAAAACTTGTAATATTATTGCATTTATGATGTTTTTCCAATCAATCATATCAAAATTAAGGTTTTTCTAAACCTGGCATATTTTTAGTACAAACTTTTACACATAAACAATAATAAGCATAGCAGTCGCACAACGTATTTTTCTCATATGTCAATCATCATTTTGATGAAAATCATGAGTTTGACTTGAGTGTTATTTGATGATCATATAAAGACAATGATTTTAACTTAGTCTCATTCTATTGTTATTATTCCTCATTTTTTTGACATTATTTTGCAATATTATGTCTTGGATTTAATTAGTATTTTTATTTTTTCATCGACTTATGAAATTACAAAATATTCTTTTATGTGATAATGAGATTTGTTACTTGAATATGTGTATACTTTTTTTTTACTACGTAGTACATATCTTATTTTGTGAAGTATATACTTTAAATGTTCAAAATAATATCCCATATTTTTTGTCCGAATTTTTGTAACATATATCGTATTATACATGTATACGTATTCACACGTTTTTTAAAAGTCAACGTATTTTTCAACGAATTTTTGACCGTCTTTTTCATTCTTGTTACCGAATAAAACACGTACGTATTAAACCTCGTTCAATTCCCGTACCGTATTTAACTATGAAAATGACACGCTAAAAATGAACAAAGGAGATAAGGAAGGAATAATGATATTAATTTTATATTATGAAAAATCGCGATGAAAAAGTATGAACATAAAAAGCCATGAAGTCTTGATTTAAAATATATACGAAGTACGTCATAAGGTAATAATCTTATATGGAGTATTAAAGTGATTTACTTAAAAATCACTATACGTTACACGATGTGATTTGAAAGTTATGAACTAGTTTTATAATTTGTTTATCCGATACTTTGGTTATTACTTTAGGATAATGATGCGGCAGTGGCATATGCAGCACTCCCAATTGCGAAGAATCTCAGAGAAATCGTGCTTGGTCGCTTCAGTTTTGATTGTGGGAACCATATAACCTTTCTTATGCACTTACTTAAAAAATCCCCCAAACTATGTGGGCTGAAGATTCACGTGGTAATTAATTCAATTTTTAATAATTCAAACTATGTGGGCTGAAAATCCCCCAAATTGATAATTAATTCAATTTTTAATAATTCAAATTTACATATTCATAAACTACATTGAAATCTCTTCAAAGTTGTAAACTCCAAATTGGAATATAATTAGAAATTGACATCCTAATTAAACGAACAAAACGAATCTGTTTGACCAAGAAAAGTCAAAATTGCAACTCAATTTGGGACGGGGTAGTATAATAATGATAAACATTGTGATAGATTATTTAATCTTAGAGAGAAGTGAGAGCTAGAGAGATAAAGTGATATATATAATGAATTCCAATCAATTATCTCATTTCCTTACATGGCTCCCATAGGGAGTATTTATAGGAGAAAAGAGGGTTGGGCTTCCAGGCTTGGGCCTGGCTGGCCCAGTTACAATAAAAGGCTAATAAAGGGCTAATAAATGATATCTAATCTATTCTAATGGATACATCTGAATAAATAAAGTGTACAATGAGATAAATGCTATCTACTGAGCGTATGTGGGCCGCTGTCCGGGCCCAATAGTCGTGAGACCCGGGGGTCCGAGTCTATATACTCTATCAGGAGTCCCCCACTCTCTGAGTCGAGAGTACTCGAGGCGAAAGAGAGTAGAACTATGTGCTGATCTGTCGTCGTCTGGTGAGTAAACCGCTGTCGTCACCGAAGCGCCCCGCCCGGATTCCCAAGCCGATGATCCGATCCCACTGGTGAGCCCTGGCTGAGGCAACCCTGTGGGAAAATCCTCAGCCGAAGGTCGCAGGCTAGAGACCATCACCACCGGTCCTGAGGCCGGGGAGCTATGTATATGTACTGGCCGATGTGGCAGTTGAATATGTATGTGAGATGATGATGTCGTCGGTGCGTGTGGCAATCCTTGCAAAAATTTTGAATTTCTGCTTCTTTGGTAGCGAAGGCACTAAGTCCCCCGCTCTCCCAGTCCCCCACTCCTTGAGGCGAGTGTAACGAGGTGAAGAGGAGTAGAGTAATGCATGTCTGATGATGTCTGCAACAGGGGGCCGAGGGTTGACACCTTTTGATCCACAATGGGGAGATGCCTCGTTAAAAACCTCATTAGGAAAAACCCTGTGGGAAAAAATCCTAATGAGGGAAAAAGAGTACATCGGATGCCCCCAGAACGAAACAAAAGGTGCGAGCCCTTCGGCCTAGAGGTGGAGCTGCAGCGACGGGATGGCAGAGGCCGATCCATAGATGTGGGTAGCTCGTCATGATCAGTAGTCCTAGTCATCAAATAAAGATGACTAAGGGATGGGTCGAGCGACCGTCCATAATATAATGTCTGGTTCATCAAATAAAGATGACCAGAATATGAGGCCGATGGGCCGATGTGAGCTCCACGTCATCAAATAAAGATGACTGGGAGTAGTGGCCGAGAGGCATATATGAGAGCTCCACGTCGTCAAATAAAGACGAAGGGGCGATGTGTGGCCGAGGGGCCTGGATAAGAGCTCCACATCGTTAAATAAAGACGACGGGGCGATGTATGGCCGAGGGGCCTGCATAAGAGCTCCACGTCGTCAAATAAAGACGACGGGGCGAGATATGGCTCAGGGGCCTATAGATGAGTTCCTCGTCATCAAATAAAGATGACAGAACGATATGTGGCCGATGGGCCTGTAGATGAGCTCTTCGTCATCAAACAAAGATGACAGAATAATATATGGCCGATGGGCCTGTAGATGAGCTCTTTGTCATCAAACAAAGATGACAGAATAATATATGGCCGATGGGCCTGTAGATGAGCTCTTCGCCATCAAATAAAGATGACAGAATAATATATGGCCGATGGGCCTGTAGATGAGCTCTTCGTCATCAAATAAAGATGACAGAGCGGTATATGGCCGAGGGGCCTATAGATGAGCTTCTCGTTATCAAATAAAGATGACGGAGCAAGATATATGGCCGATGGGCCTGTATGAGAGCCCTTCGTCATCAAATAAAGATGCTAGAGCAAGATGTGGCCGAGGGGCCTATAGATGAGATCTGAGATCCTTTAGTCTCTGAGCCGGAGACCGCAAGATGTTTGCTAGATCCGAACATGAGGACGAGGCGTTGGACGCCTGTCTGAATATGAGGATGAGGCGCTGGGCGCCTGTCTGAATATGAGGACGAGGCGTTGGACGCCTGTCTGAATGTGGGGACAAGGCGTTGGACGCCTGTCTGAATATATGCGGACGAGGCGTTGGACGCCTGTCTGAACATGAGGACGGGGCGTGGGACGCCTGTCTGATGATACGATGACGAGGCAATGCTGAGCCGATCATCATATATAGGCAACGGTCGCCATCCAGGAGGGGATGGCGAGCCCGATCGCTAACCCAAGACATTCGGCAATGAGAGGCCGGTCTCGGAGATAGGACATCACATCGTGGCCTAGGGGCCGATCGTGATGTGAGGACGGCCGTGATAAGGAGCCGATCCAAAATAACAATGACGAGGCGATGATAAGCCGGTCGCCATGTAGGGGCGATAGTCACCATCCAGGAAGGGATGGCGAGCCTGATCGCTAGCTCAACACACTCGGCGCTGATGAAGCCGGTGTTGAGATAGATCATCACGCCGAGGCCGGGGCGGCGGTCGTGACATGAGGATGGCGATAATGGGTAGCCGATCCGAATAATGACGACGAGGCAGAGATGAGCCGGTCGTCATGTAGAGGCGACGGTCACCATCCCGGAAGGGATGGGGAGCCCGATCGCTAGCTCAACACACTTGGCGCTGACAAAGCCGGTGTTGAGATAGGGCATCACGTCGAGGCCGGGGGGCCGATCCTGATGCGAGGTCGTCAGCACTATGAGGCCGAGCCAAACGTCCAAGCAACGGTCGCCATCCGATGAAGGAATGACTGAGACCGGTCTTGGGGAATATGATCACGTCGAGGCCGAGGGCCTGCCATGATCGGCACTGAGGGGCCGACCCAAAAATCCATACAATGGTCGCCACCCAGTAAAGGAATGGCTAAGACCAGTCTTGATAAGGTACCGCGCCTTGGCCGAGAGGCCGGCTGCGATGCGAGGATGACGACTATGATAAGCCGGTCCAATGTATGATGACGAGGCAATGATAGGCCAATCGCCATGTAGAGGCGACGGTTGCTATCCCGGAAGGGAATAGCAAGCCCAATCGCTAGATCAAGACACTCGGCGCTGAGGGAGCCGGTCTTGAGATAAAGCATTACTGTAAGGAATAAATGTAATTAGATTTTGATGATGCTATAGGATTAGAAAGTTAGAGTACCCCCAAATTAGACTTTATGTATTAGAATTTTCAATTGTAAGTATTAGTGTAGTCGACGATCAGAGTTGCTCTGCTTTGGATCAGATCAGAAGTGCATCAGAATTGCTCGACCAGACTTGCTCTGTGAGAACTGCTTTATCAGAGTTCTCTTATCAGAAGTCCATCAGAGTTGCACCATGAGATCTGCTGATAAATTGGACATCTGATAACCGATGAGAGTTACAGATCAGAGGTACTCATCAGCGGACCTATCAGAGTCAGAGTTAGAGTTCAGTCAGGGATCAGAAAGCCATCAGAACTCAACTCATCAGAAAGCCATCATAATTCAATGCTTCAGAAGAGCCTGATCAGAGCCCGACTAACACTTAGAAGATTTCAAGAAACATCCAACAGCTATGAATCCAACGGGTAAAATCATCCAACGGCTAGAAGACTGTGCATGAAAGGAAAGCATTTAATGCACATTAAATGAGCCTGATACGCTGAAGGATTGATTGCAAATGATTGACCAAGGAATCCGGGAAGATATATTATAAAAATAGAAACCTTCCAAAAACGGCGGTCAAGTCAACAGTACGCGCATTTAATGCAGTTGTCTCCTCCTCCAACGGGCAGACAACCCCAGTATATAAGCTACTCACCGAAGAACAGGGATACAACTTTGCTACAACTTTTGCTCATCATAATTCAAGCTCTCTTGAGATTCAAATTCTACAATCTTCAACAAGACAAGCTTACGTTGGGAAGACTCTAATATTCATAACCTCAAATCCCAACACACAGCAAAATTCATCCTGTTTCTTCAACACTTCAAGAACTTCAACTACATATCTCTTGTAACGAAGCAAGTTGGAGAAAACTCTGTTTTCAGAACATCTTCTGCAAAGAAGGGCGTCCAAGTAACTGCAGTAGTGAAGTGGTGATACTTCCGGGAAGCTGAGTGAAAGGACCAGTCATCAGGAAGCAGGATTGCATCCCGGGTGACAACTAGACTTGAAGAAGGCGTGGAGAACTTCTTAAGTGCTAGGGACTAAGCTTTGTAACCGATCTACTTCAAAGCTAGTGGAACAGTGGACTAGAGGAACGAGTTGTTCCTTGAACCACTATAAAAATATCCGGTGTCATTTACTTTACTGCAATTTACATTTCTACACTTAGGATATTAACTGTTAACTCTAAGACTTGGAATCTGTGTTCAGCAGATCTTGTTTTCAGAGTTATCAGAAAGGCATTTGCCTTAGTGTTTCTGAGGCTACCCGGACAGATCAGAATCCGCTGCCGAGGCCAGTTCTGATATCAGAACCAGCCTTTCTCTGCCATCAGAATCAGACCTTCTCTGATAAGTCACTTTGGACTTAGAGAAAATTTGAAAAACCAATCAGTCTATTCACCCCCCCCCCCTCTAGACTGATTACCATATTAAACGGGACCAACAATTACGTCGTGGCCGAAGGGCCCGATCGTGATGTGAGGACGAAGATGCTGAGGAGCATGTCCGAGATATGATGACGAGGCAATGATAAGGCCGATCGTCATGTAGAGGCAACGGTCACCATCCAGGAAGGGACGGCGAGCCCGATTGCCAACTCAAGACGCTTGGCGATGAGATGCCGGTCTTGAGAAGGAATAATCACACCAAGGCTGGGAGGCCGGTCGTGATGTGCGGATGGCGATGATGATGAGCCGATCCGAATAATGATGATGACGAGGCGGAGATGAGTCGATCGTCATGTAGAGGCGACGGTTGCTATCCCGGAAGGGAATAGCAAGCCCAGTCGCTAGCTCAAGACACTTGGCGCTAAGGGAGCCGGTCTTGAGCTAGATCATCACGTCGAGGCCGGGGGGCCGATCGTGATGTGCGGATGGCGATGATGATGAGCCGATCCGAAGATCCAAGCAACGGTCGCCATCCGGGAAGGGATGACTAAGACCGGTCTTGAGATAAGGTATCACGCCTTAGCCGAGAGGCCGGACGCGATGTAAGGACGACGGCGATAATGAGCCGGTCCAACATATGATGACGAGGCGATGTGAAGGCCGATCGTCATATAGAGGCAACGGTCGCCATCCAGGAAGGGACGGCGAGCCCGATTGCCAACTCAAGACACTTGGCAATGAGAAGCCGGTCTTGAGGAGAAATAATCACGCCAAGGCTGGGAGGCCGGTCGTGATGTGCGGATGGCGATGAGGAGCCGATCCGGATAATGATGACGAGGCGATGATGAAGCCGATCGTCATATAGCGGCAACGGTCACCATCCAGGAAGGGACGGCGAGCCCGATTGCCAACTCAAGACACTTGGCAATGAGAAGCCGGTCTTGAGGAGAAATAATCACGCCAAGGCTGGGAGGCCGGTCGTGATGTGCGGATGGCGATGAGGAGCCGATCTGGATAATGATGACGAGGCGATGATGAAGCCGATCGTCATGTAGAAGCGACAGTCGCCATCCAGGAGGGGAATGGCGAGCCCGGTCGCTAGCTCAAGACACTTGGCGCTGGGGAGGCCGGTCTTGAGATAAAGCATCATGCCGAGGCCGGGGGGCCCGGTGGTGATGAGCGGATGGCGATGATGATGAGCCGATCCGGATAATGATGACGAGGCAATGATGAAGCCGATCGTCATATAGAGGCGACGATTGCTATCCCGGAAGGGAATAGCTAGCTCGGTCGCTAGCTCAAGACACTTGGCACTGGGGAGGCCGGTCTTGAGATAAAGCATCACCCCGAGGCCGGGGGGACGGTGGTGATGAGCGGATGGCGATGATGATGAGCCGATCCGGATAATGATGACGAGGCGATGATGAAGCCGATCGTCATATAGAGGCGACGGTTGCTATCCCGGAAGGGAATAGCTAGCTCGGTCGCTAGCTCAAGACACTTGGCACTGGGGAGGCCGGTCTTGAGATAAAGCATCACGCCGAGGCCGGGGGGTCGGTGGTGATGAGCGGATGGCGATGATGATGAGCCGATCCGGATAATGATGACGAGGCGATGATGAAGCCGATCGTCATATAGAGGCGACGGTTGCTATCCCGGAAGGGAATAGCTAGCTCGGTCGCTAGCTCAAGACACTTGGCACTGGGGAGGCCGGTCTTGAGATAAAGCATCACGCCGAGGCCGGGGGGGCCGGTGGTGATGAGCGGATGGCGATGATGATGAGCCGATCCGGATAATGATGACGAGGCGATGATGAAGCCGATCGTCATATAAAAGTATGACGACGTTGGGGAGTCCGTTCATGAGATGATGGAGCAAGAGCTTCGGCATTGGGAGCCGGTCTTGAGATGAATAATAAGTTTGGGGAATTTATTTATTTTTATTGCTCGAGGCCGGCAAGTGCGCGGTCCGTCGGCTTCCCTCTTTTTTTTTTTTTTTTTGGATGGCCGAAGGGTTACTGTCCCTTCGTCCATGTGCGGTATTTTGTCCGCTACGCTTTTCGCGTGTGTTAGTGCGAGGGAGTAAATACGCCCTCGGCTTGGTGTGTCAGTGGCATCCTTTTTTGCCTTTCCACGTCTATCGGCGACGAGGGACCGGACTAGGCATCGTCTTTTGACGGCCGCCCTTTGTGGTCCTGAGCGAAATTTTACTGACGGGTGGAGTTTTTGTAACCTCAGCCTTAATTCAGGCCTATCGTCCTGCGGTTTCCGCGCGGACGACGCGGTATGCTTCTCCGTTTGAAGACGTTGGACCATGCACACAGGTCCTCCGTCCTGCATATCGCCGGCCGATTTGGGTGTTTCACCGCTTGTGCCGATACGATATTTAGGTGCGTTGTTTATTGCAATGGCTTTGTAAGCGCGTTGTGGATCGCAACGGCCTTAGGTGCGTTGTGTATTGCAACGGCTTTGGGTGCGTCGTTTATTGCGACGGCTTTAGGTGCGTTGTTTATTGCAACGGCTTTGAGTGCGTTGTTTATTGCAACGGCTTTGGGTGCGTCGTTTATTGCGACGGCTTTAGGTGCGTTGTTTATTGCAACGGCTTTTGGATGACGCAATTAGCGTGTAGGGGAATGAGGTGTACCGCTTCTAGGCATAATGTCGTGTGCGGCCGTTGATGGCTCTCATTCTAGATGCCCGGGTCATCAAATAAAGATGACCATGGTAGGTCAATGGACCCAAATATGATCCGAATCATCAAATAAAGATGTTCGGAAGGTTAAGGCTTTGGCCCGCACCAATTGGGGATTTCAATCCGCTAGCAATGGTGGTGAAGATAATAATAATAGTAGCAATTATTATTATTGTTTTCTTTTTTTCTTTGGAATAGTAGTAAAACTATTTTTTCCAGAATAGTAGTAAAACTATATATATATTTTTTTTTGAGTAGTGATAAAACTATTTTTGCTCCATATTTAATGCATAAAATAGGAGGAAAATTTTGTGGCACTTACTTGTATTTGGGCCGAAGCCTGCCTTGCTTAGAATTAAAAGAGGGAATATAAGATTTGGGCCTGCTCTTTAAGAATCCAGGGCCCTTGAGATTAATAGTCGGCCCACATTTAATCAGCCCGCTACTCCAATTGGGATGCTGGTCCCAGATCTTGTCTAAGTTGATTTCATCCGAAGGGGAGGAGTTGGTTCGACGGAGTGGAGCGTGAAACAGAGACGAGGAGACTCCCCGCGTCGCTGGAGTCTATTGGGGACGAGGAGATTCCCGTCGTCCCTGCCGGAATCATCCGTCTGTTCTGGCCGTCGCAAGGCCAAGGTGGTGCGCCGCTGCTCTACCGTCGCCTGGCCGAGAGACCACGAATCGGCCGAGGGGTCCGTGATTTGGGGCCACTCGGAACCAGGAACGACGTGGTGGGACTTCTCCGGCCGATGGTCCGCTCATTTGACCGATGCGGTCCAGCCCGGACGATGCGGTCCAGTCCGGACGATGCGGTCGCTTGACGGGGTGGCCTTGTTGTGGCCGATGCGGTGCTGGCTGAAGCGGTGCCGGCCGATACAGTGCCGACGATGTGGTGCCGGACGATGCGGTGCCGGACCATGCGTGCTCAGCCGATGAAGTATTGGCGGATGAAGTGCCGGCCAATGAAGTGTAGTCCGCCGAAAGTGTTGATGGGTTGCTTAGTTGCTTGGCTGATTGTGTTGCCGGCCGATGCGTGCCCAGCCGATGAAGTATTGGCGGATGAAGTGTTGGCCGCCGATAGTGTTGATGGCTAATGCAATTGCTGGCCGAAGCGCGCAGTTGTGGGCCGATGGGAAGTTTCCCTTTATTGTTTAGCCGACGGGATGCACAGGTGACCGATGATGCACATGAGTACTCTGTTGAGCCAGTCTTTGGCCGAGGACCTGCCATCCCAGATTGCTTGGCCGAAGCGGGAATTCTGGCCGTAGGTGCCCCATTGGGGCGCCCCTCTTTTGGTTCCCTTTTGTACACTTCAGCCGAGGCGGGGCCGATGAGATGCGGCCGACGATGTATGCTGCCGAAGCGGGTGCCGGCTGAAGTGGCGTTGACCGAGGCGGTTGCTTATGCAGTTTCTGGCCGATGAAGAGCGTTTGAGCGCCGGTGGAGACAAGGGGCCGCTGCCAGTTGCTTTACTTTGAGCCGTGGTGGCATTTGGCCGCTGTGTGCCGGCTGGGGTTACTCTGAGCGGATACGCCTTGGAGACTAACATTCCCCTTTGTTGTTCTCATTTTTGTTTGCCTTGGCTGATGTGGAACACTTAGCTGTTGAGGGCGGACGAAGGGAAGCCTGGTGGGGATCGTATCATCCTCCAGTTCCTTCCTCTGTATTTCACTTTGACTGGCTGAGCAAGCTCTTGACCGAGGAGATGAGATGGACTTGGCAGTAGCCTGGATGTTCATTTCCACGTGTAACACATGGCCGAAGGGATATATGTCCATTACTCCATTGCATGATAATATGATACAGTACACATTCGGCATGATGGCCGAAGGTCGTTTATTTACATGAAGCTAGGTGGCATGCTGCCTCCAATGGGGCCGAAGGGTACCCCTTTGTTTATTCACGTGGAGTTTTGTTGGTTGGGGAGGATCTCACTTGATATATTCTAGCTCTCAATGAAAGCACCAAATGATAGATTATTTAATCTTAGAGAGAAGTGAGAGCTAGAGAGATAAAGTGATATATATAATGAATTCCAATCAATTATCTCATTCCCTTACATGGCTCCCATAGGGAGTATTTATAGGAGAAAAGAGGGTTGGGCTTCCAGGCTTGGGCCTGGCTGGCCCAGTTACAATAAAAGGCTAATAAAGGGCTAATAAATGATATCTAATCTATTCTAATGGATACATCTGAATAAATAAAGTGTACAATGAGATAAATGCTATCTACTGAGCGTATGTGGGCCGCTGTCCGGGCCCAATAGTCGTGAGACCCGGGGATCCGAGTCTATATACTCTATCACATTGTTTTGTTAATATGATACAAAAATGTTTTTGTTATTTGATAAGTTCTGCAAAAAGTCAACCTGGTTATAAATTAATAATAAACAAAATTTTAACTTTTAAAATAAAAATATTATACAAAATTGATGAAAAGTAATGACATGAAAATTATGAGTTTCACTTGAGGGTTATTTTATGATCATATAAAGATGAACGTAATCATGTTCTATCGTTATTATGCTTTATTTTTTGACATTATTTTGCAAAATATAGTGTGACTTAATTACTATTTAAAAAAAAACCGACTTATGCTATTACATGTTTTTCTTTTATGTATTGATGAGATTTACTACTTGAATATGTGTATACTTTTATTTTTTTTATTATATGTTATTTTGTTTTGTATGTAATTTAACTGTTCAAAACAAGACTCCATATATATTTTTTATCCGGACTTTTGTGGCATACTTCCTTCATTCCTTTTTAAATGCAATGGTCCACTTTTCACGTTGTCAACACACATGTTTGATCATGAATATCTTCCATACCTTATTAGTAAAAATTAAAAATAATAGATTTTGAAAGTTTAAAATGGGAGGATTTAACAATATTTTTTTAAAATTTAATTTAAAATACATTAATAAATAAAACAGTGTCAAAGTAGAAAATGTGAATATATAATGAAAAGTCTAGTGTTGCATTTCAAGAAATGGAGGGAGTATATAGGGGATCTCGAGTATATCGTATCATACACATATTAATATTTATACGTTATTTAAAAGTCAACGTTTTTCAACAATTTTTTGACTGATTTTTCATTTACACGTATAAACAATTACACGTATTCTGGTTAATACCATGGAGTATTATGGAATTTCCCATCAGTGAATCCCTTTTTTCATTAATTTATTTTTGTCGTTGTCTTACCTACCTGCCTTTATATGTTCTTCGTGTTGATTTAGTTGACAAAATCAATATCAGATGGCGGCGGGAAAGAAGCCAATTTAACACTTTTGGAGGGTCCTACAGAAGAAGGCGGCCAATTCATTAGACATGATATGAGAATGGTTGAGACAGTGAAGATTAAAGGATTTACAGGATCTGAAATTGAAATATGCTTTTTGAAATTGATACTGTCGAAGTCCACTGCGCTCCAAGATGTTGTTATTTGGGAAGCTAAAGATATCAGTAACTCTCTGTCTTTTCAGGCCTTAAAGAAGCTTTTGAGCTTTCCTCGTGCATCTTCTAAATCGAAACTTATCTACAAAGAACACTACCTTAGGTTCATGCCAAAGTTACGTTGAAAGGTTTTGCTAGCCAAGTATGCCAACTAATGGTGGTAACCTAAGAATATAATATTCATGTAATTAAACAAGGCCGGAACCAACGGTAGAATACGCGGGTGATTTCTTAATTTATGGGAAAAGCTAACATTTACCACTAAAACACGGGGAGTTTTTGTAGGTTTTCTAAGAATGGGGATTCCGAATTCCCCTTTCCGATTGGAATAATAGGGTTGATTGGGTGGTAGGGCGAGGGGGAGGGTAGTGGAGGGTAACGTTAATGTAAAATCCCATTTTGATTTTAAGTCATGTAACTTTTTTATTTATATTCCATTTTTTACAAAAATTACACCAAAATTCATAATTTTTTATTATCTTTCCAACCACACCAATATCCAATACTCCGTATTAAAGTTTGATTTTTTTAAGTCTTACCAATAGAAATTTTTTCAGTCCCAAAATTTTTCTTAAATAGATTCAAATGTTGAAATTAAGATTTCATTGTTTACATAAAGTGTTTATAAGTTTCAATTATTTTAAAAAAAAAATTATGAAGGTGTTTGGTAAACGGCATTTCAGTCGAAAAATGGCGGTTTAATCTCTTTCAGCGTTTTCAATGAGTGAAAAAGTTGTTTGGTAAATAGCGATTCGGCCCTAACATTTTGGGACGAAAACGCTATTAATTGGAGAGTTTTGAACGAAGTTGGTGATCAATGTCCGGTCGGACTCTCTGGATTGCTCCAGCTTCATTTCACCTCTATAATTAAAGACCCTTGGCATGTTAAGCATGTTTCTTCGGTATTGGGTGAGAACTTCTCAATTCTCATTCAAATTAGGAGCTTTTTTTGCCATTTTCGGTCCCTCCTAATTGTGTCATTGACACCTTAGGTATTGGATTTTAGTTTCCCAATTTCAATACTTCGTATTTGACTATTATGCTAGGTAGGGGTGAGATTTGTCCAGACACTACAACACACATAAAATGTCAAGAAAAATAGAAAAAGTGTCAAGATAGATCCTTATAGGCTTCTCCAACACACATAAAATGTGTCACTAGGAATGGTGTTAGGAAAAACCTTTCTTGACACTCGTAGACATGTGTTGGCAAATCTCTCTGCACTTTCGCTGACACATAATGTGTCATGAAATTGCTTAATCACCAAATAAATTTTGTGTGTCATGAAAGATTAAAGATAACACATAACTGTCAAGAAAAACCATGTTGATTTATTTGAAGCCATAATAAATTATTTTAATAAATTTTCTATAGCATGTTTATATTAGTAATAAAAATGTGGGATACTAAATATTACTTTCATGGAGAAACTTGCACCTGACTTTAAAATAATTGAAAAACTTCAATGAAGTAAAGTTTACAATTCAAATTAAAGCAATGAACTTACACGTACCATAGAACTAAAGTTATTTCTAGAAACTATGCACTCCTTTCATACTCAAATTTACACCATAGAAGTCCAAAAAAAAACTTAAAGCTCACAATGAAGCAAATTGAAATTGCCCATAAAACCAACTATATGTGTACAAGCTTGATCTCCAAAAATCTTCTTAAGTGTGATGACTTCCGGTTGATGATGGCTCATTTGTAGAATTGTAGGTGTTGGTCCATTAACAACCTGGAAAATAACAGTTTAATCAGGGGTAGAAATTCATAAACAAGAGAGTACAAATAAATAAGATCATAAGTTTGTACTAATAATTGCATATATAACTAGTTTAGAGGTGTATGGTATAGATAATTAAAAACTGAGAACTGCATATTACAAGCTACTAACAAAAAAATACGAAGTACATGGCAGAGCTAGCAATAAAAGAAAATACACTAGAAATTGGTTAGAGAGCCAAAAATGCAGATTGTGGTGAAAATTTATTAGCTAGCAATAAAAATGCTGCTCGTGGTGTTTACTTGACTGGGACTCTTCAATTCTATCAGATTGTGGCATTTTTGAGGAGTTATTGGTTGAGACAATGTTCAACCTCTTGCGCTTTGTCATTGTTACTACAATAGAATACTAAAATTAGTTTTAAAACATTTAATAATAAATAAAGAACCGATAAAAAAGTTATGTGTTAAACTAACCTCAATGTGAGGAATGGATAAAGGTTCTTCAATCCAAACCTGCAAAACATAAGATATTATAAGTAGAATATAAACCTGTAATAAATCCACCTTGTGCCAAATGGTTATCCAATTGCAAACCTGCAAAGAATATATGGGTATAACCGTATAACAAACACACAATATGTGAAATGATTATTTTAGTAGGAGAAGATATTATGAATTAGATAGTTGTTAAATCATATCTTCTCTGGGTGGAACTGTCAGTGGGTTACTTGTGAAAAAAGGCTTCACTTACCAGATAATGGCCCCTGAAGATCTCCACATCTTCTCACAACTTTCGAATACAAATGCTAATCAGAGAATTACTATCACATATTCAGATGCATTTTCTGTGATTAAGCACAGGATCAGACAAGTTTATGAGAGTGTGGAATCATCAACTGATGAGGTTTCTGGAGTTCCAGCACTTCGGATTCATGATAAGGTAGTGGTTAAACAGGAGTCAGAGAATCATCTTTCTGTGCATTGGACTGCTGACCCTATCAGTGATATGGTCTTCGACTCTGTTGTTGCATTGGTTCTAAATGCAAACAAATGCCTAGGTTGCTCGTGGAATCAGAACATGATGTAAACATTGATGAAGATGCAAAGAAAACTGAGGAAAATTATTGACACTGTTGGTGTCTTTGTTTGGGGATGATAAAATGGGGGATGGAAAGCTAGTTATAAATGTTGATGGGAACACACCAGAACTTGACAAACAGACTGGTGATGTTGAAGGTGAAGACGATGGCCTCAAGGAACGCGTAATTAAAAACAGCATATAGGCGTACTGCAAGTGCAGTGAAACCCATCCCACTGTCAGCACCTTAAACTAAGTGGAGCATGAAGTACAAGAAAGAGGGAGGGGATGATAGCAGGCTTTATACTAGCACACGCCAAACATGACAATTGACAAGGGAGCTCTTGCATGCAAAGGAACTGTGACCATCTCCTGGTTTATTATGCTTGAAAATGATTGAACGGAGCTCTTTCAAGTTGCAAATCCCATTCCCTATGCATGATTGGCAGCACCTG